AATCTCAGCACTTTGGGAAGCCGAGGCGGATGGATCATCCGAGATCAGGAGTTCGAGACCAGCCTGGACAAAATGGTGAACCCCCCCGTCACTACTAAAAATAAAAAATATTAGCCATGTGTGCTGGCACGCGCCTGTAGTCTCAGCTATTCGGAAGGCTGAGGTAGGAGAATCGCTTGAACCCAGGAGGCGGAGGCTGCAGTGAGCCTAGCCTGTGCGATTGCACTCCGGTCTGGGCAACAGAGTGAGACTCTGACCGCCCCCCGCCAAAAAAAAAAAAAATTGGCTGGACGGCACCTGTAATACCAGCTACTCGGGAGGCTGAGGCAGGAGAATCGCTTGAACCTGGGAAGGCAGAGGTTGCTGTGACCCGATATCGCGCCATTGCACTCCAGCCTGGGCGGCAAGAGCAAAACGCCGTTTCAAAAGTATATAATAAAATAAAATACCTTGAACGTCACCGATGTAAATTTGGAACTCCTATAGCGAGATTCCATACATCCCGCTTTTGGACGTTTTATTCCAAAGACACAGCAAAAGGAAGAAAACGACTGCGGTGAACCACAGCTCACGACAACTTGGTGAGTGCAGGATCATTGGACGATGGTGACATCCATCCAATCGTCGGGAAGTCCGGAGAGAACGCTGTCTGGATTAGTTAGAGGAAACATCTCTCCAGGTTCGTTCAAGAAGGGGTTCAGCCGGCAACGTCTCTGGCCAATCAGAGAAAGCATGAGGGCGGGCTGTGCAGCAGGAAGGTGGTGAATCTCGGCGGGTCAGACCCTCCTGCCGCGATGGGGGGGCGTGGCCTCCGCGTGCGGGCTCCAGGCTCGCTGGGCCGCGCGCGGGGTGGGCGGGGCCCACGAGCCTGGGCGGGGCGAGCGGTGTCAGCCGCAGAGCCGGATGCGGGCGGCACCGCGGCGGCAGCGGCCTGGGGATGGGCGGAGCCCCAGCCGCTAGTGCTGGTGGCCGCCGCTGCTGCCCCAGCCAGAGCCCGAGCCGCCGCCTTTGCGCCCGTGCGTCGCTGCTTCCCAGGGCGGCGGTATGCTAGGGAAAGGGGTAGTCGGTGGTGGTGGCGGCACCAAGGCGCCCAAGCCCTCCTTCGTGTCGTACGTACGCCCTGAGGTGAGGGAGCGCCGCGCGGGCGGGGCGTCGGGCTGGGGCGGCCCGGGCGTGGGGCGTCGGGAGCACCTTCCCGGTGGTGGGGAGCGCCGCGGATCGCTTCCTGCCCTTGTGCCGGGCGATCGGGCAGCCGAGCGGGCTGAGGCCGCAGGGGCGCGCTGGGGCCTCCTCGCCGACCGGGGTAAGGACCCCGGCGCGGCCAGGCAGGTGCCGGAGCGCAGGGCCGGGTCGCTGGCGGCTGGTGGAGGGGCCCGAGCCGAGAAGGGGTTGAGGCCCGGGACTCCCCTCCGGATTCTGGAGAGGAACTGGGGTTGTGGGCACTGCTGGGAGGGGAAGGGCCGGGGGTCGGGGCTCCCAAGGGGGCCCGGCCGGATCCCGCGTGGGTCTGTCCTGCCGCTGAACTTTCTCAGTGAGCCCAGGAGCCCGCCGGCCTCCGCTCCCTGCCTGTGAGTACCTCGGATGCCACTGGCGGGATGCCCTGCACCTTCGTCCGCCTCCCATCAGCGCTGAGGGAGAAACGGGGGTCGGCCCGGCCTCAGCCCGTCTCTGCCTCTCCCTTGGGAATTCTCCTCTGTCGCTTCTTTCTCCCCTCACCATCGTCCTTTCCACCCCCTTCCTGTTCTGAGTCTTCATGTCAAGAAGTTTGTTCATTCATTCAGAAAATACTTCTGGAGCTCCTACTATGTGTGTCAGGCACTGTTCTAAATGCTTGGAATAGACGTCAGTGATCAGGACAGAGAACTCGGCTTTCTTGGAGCTTGAGGGGGAGAGGAGAAACATGGTGAATTATAGATAGTTAAGTAAATTATACGGTGTAGTAGGAGGTGATAAATATCATGGGAAAGAAAAGGCATTTTTTTTCCTCTTCGCAAAGGTGGCATTTGAGCCGAGACTTGAAGATATGAGGAGTCTGAGAGAAGAGCGTCCAGGTAGAGGGAACAGCCCCCAGGGAAGGTCGTGAGGTGGGAGTATGTCTGAAGGGTTGGTGGAGCGTCAAGGAAGCCAGCATGGCACAGGCCGCATGGACAAGGAGAGGACGTTAGAGAGATCAGAACTCGTAGGCCTTGCTCAGGGCTTCTTGAGCAATAGTTCTTTTTTTTTTTTGAGACGGAGTTTCGCTCTTGTTGCCCAGGCTGGAGTGCAATGGCGCGATCTCGGCTCACCGCAACCTCCGCCTCCTGGGTTCAGGCAATTCTCCTGCCTCAGCCTCCTGAGTAGCTGGGATTACAGGCACGTGCCACCATGCCCAGCTAATTTTTTGTATTTTTAGTAGAGACGGGGGTTTCACCATGTTGACCAGGATGGTCTCGATCTCTTGACCTCGTGATCCACCCGCCTCGGCCTCCCAAAGTGCTGGGATTACAGGCTTGAGCCACCGCGCCCGGCCGAGCAATAGTTCTTAATCCAAATGCCTAGTGAGATGCCTTCCCATTTCGGATTTGTGAAGGTTCATTTCTGCCCTTCTCTCCAGCAGAAGTGCAGAAGCAGCGCCAAATTTGTTGTACATGTCTTCCCACCTGTGTCTTGCAGAAGCACGTGGGCTGTGGATGAGAGATCTGATCAGGGACTGCTTCTATGAGACCGCCTGGGGCCTGAAGCATTTGCATATGTATCTTTAAATCCAAGATATGTGTGTTTTCTGCAGGGGAGAGTGCTCTTAGAATCGGTCATATTTTTAGTCCTAGTATGAAAATACAAACCATTTCCTGTTAGCACTTGATGTGGAGTCAGGGTAGTCTTAAATTTTCAGCAGGCTTCCCTTGTAGTATCACGTGTAAGTAATACAGTCAGTTTCTCTTTGTACCTTTTTAAAACATTTAAATTTTTAAAAAAATTTTTTGGGGTGTAATAGGTGTATATATTTAATGGGATACATGAAATATTTGAGCTGGGTGTAGTGGCTGACACCTGTAATCCTAGCACTTTGGGAGGCTGAGGTAGGTGGATCACATGAGGTCAGGAGTTTCCAGACCAGCCTGGTCAACATGGCGAAACCCCAAAATTAGTCAGGCGTAGTGGTGTACACCTGTAATCCCAGCTACTAGGGAGGCTGAGGCAGGAGAAGCGCTTAAACCCGGGAGGTGGAGGCTGCAGTGAGCCGAGATTGCGCCACTGCACTCCAGCTTGAGTGCAGTGGCGAGACTCTCGAGACTCCATCTCAAAAAATGAAAAAAGAAATATTTGGATACAGGCATACAAAGCATGAATGGGATATCCATCACCACAAACATTTATCCTTCCTTTGTGTTGCACACTATCCAATGATACTCTTATTATTGACTGTAGTCGTCCTGTTGTGCTATCACATACTAGATCTTACTCTGTCTAACTGTATTTTTGTACCTATTAAACATCCCCATTTCCCTTTCTCCTGCTACTCTTGCCAGCTTTTGGTAATCATCATTCTATTCTCTGTCTCCATGAGTTCAATTATTTTTTTATAGACTGAGTACAGAGTTTCGGTCTTGTTGCCCAAGCTGGAGTGCAATGGCGTGATCTTGGCTCACCACAACCTTCACTTCCCTAGTTCAAGGGATTCTCCTGCCTCAGCCTCCCAAGTAGCTGGGATGGGATTACAGGCCTGCACCACTGTGCCCAGCTAATTTTTTATTTTTAGTAGAGATGGGGTTTCTCCATATTGGTCAGGCTGGTCTTCAATTCTCTACCTCAGGTGATCCACCCACCTCAGCCTCCCGAAGTGTTGGGATTACAGGTGTGAGCCACTGCGCCTGCCCAATTGTTTTAATTTCTAGCTTCCACAAATAAATGAGGACATGCAAAGTTTGTCCTTCCGTGCATGGCGTAGTTCACTTAACATAATGACCTCCAGTTCTATTCACTGTAGCAAATGACAGGATCTTATTCCTTTTTACGGCTGAATAGTACTCCCTTGTGGCTATGTACCACATTTTCTTTACCCATTCATCTGTCGATGATGGACACTTAGACTGCTTCCAAATCTATTTATGGTGAGTAGTGTTGTAATAAACATGGGAGTGCAGATTTCTCTTGCATATACTGATTTCCTTTCTTTCTTTCTTCCTTTTTTAGAGACAGGATCTTGCTTTGTTGCTCAGGTTGAAGTACAGTGGCATGATCCCAGCTTGCTGTAGGCTCCACTTCCTGTACTCAAGCGATTTTCCCAAGTAGCTGGACTGCAGGTGCATGCCAGAGCACCTGACTAATTTTAAAATTTTTAGTAGAGATGATGTCTTGCTGTGTTCCCTAGGGTGCTCTCAAATTCCTGGGCTCAAGCAGTCCACCAGCCTCAGACAGTGCTGGGACTGTAGGCGTAAGCCACTGCACCTGGCCCTGATTTCCTTTCTTTTAGGTATATACCTAGCAGTGGGCTTGCTGGATCATATGGTAGCTCTATTTTTAGTTTTTGAGGAACCTCCATGCTGTTCTCCACAGTGGTTGTACTGATTTACATTCCCATCAACAGTGTATGAGGGTTCCCTTTTGTCCACATCCTTACCAGTATTTGTTATTGCTTATCTTTTAGATGTAAGCCATTTTAACTGGGATGAGATGATATCTCATAATTTTTTTTAATATTTAAAGATTTTTTAAAAAATATGATATGCGCCGGGCGCGGTGGCTCAAGCCTGTAATCCCAGCACTTTGGGAGGCCAAGGTGGGTGGATCACAAGGTCAAGAGATCGAGACCATCCTGGTCAACAAGGTGAAACCCTGTCTCTACTAAAAATACAAAAAATTAGCTGGGCATGGTGGTGCGTGCCTGTAATCCCAGCTACTCAGGAGGCTGAGGCAGGAGAATTGCCTAAACCCAGGAGGCGGAGGTTGCAGTGAGCCGAGATCATGCCATTGCACTCCAGCCTGGGTAATAAGAGCGAAACTCCATCTCAAAAAAAAAAAAAAATATGAAATGCTTCACGAATTTGCAAGTCATCTTTGCACAGGGGCCATGCTAATCTCTATATTGTTCCAATTTTAGTATATGTGATGCTGAAGCGAGCACCCACTGTAGTTTTGATTTTTGTTTCTCTGGTGATCAATGATGTTAAGCACGTTTTCATATACTTTTTTTTTTTTTTTTGGCCATTTGTATATCTTTGTTTGAGAAATGTATATTCATATCTTTTGTCCATTTTTAATTGGATTATTAGATTTTTTTTCCTATTGAGTTGTTTGAGCTTCTTACATATTCTTGTTATTAATCCCGTCAGATAGATAATTTGTAAATATTTTCTCCCATTTAGTGGATCTTCTTTTCATTTTGTTGATAGTTTCCTTTGCTGTGCAGAAGCTTTTTAACTTGATGTGATCCCATTTGTCCATTTTTGCTTTGGATGCCTGTGCTTGTCAAGTATTCTTTGTGTCTTTTTTTGATAGAGCCTTGGTTGAAGTGCAACTGATCTTTAAACTTTTCTCTTCAGTGAAATTAAACTACAAGTGGAAAGTCTTCTGAGATGTGGCCAGAGTTCAAGAATGTTCAAATTCTTCATCCACCAAATGCACATGTTGTAATTAGACTTGTTTCTCTCTTTGCCCACAGTGCCTGATATATTTCCTTTGAGGGATAATTAGGGAAGGGGTGTGGTTCATCCCCAAAATAATCCTGAAGTAGTCACATTTTTCAGATCCTTATAGTTGGCAGTTTTGTTTTCTTGCATTAAAATAATGCTGTGCAGACACTATGCCTCTTTGTTGTAGTCTGACTCTAAACATGTTTTGTAACAGAGGATAAGGCTCTGACCTAAATTGTGGATGATTTTTTAAAAGATAAAGATAAGGCTGGGTGTGGTGGCTCACACCTGTTATCCTAGCACTTTGGGAGTCCGAGGCGGGTGGTCAACAAGGTGAAGAAATCGAGACCATCCTAGAGAAACCCTGTCTCTACTAAAAATACAAAAATACAAAAGTTAGCCGGGCGTGGTGGCTCAAGCCTGTAATCCCAGCACTTTGGGAGGCCGAGGCGGGTGGATCACAAGGTCCAAAGATCAAGACCATCCCGGTCAACATGGTGAAACCCCGTCTCTACTAAAAATACAAAAAATTAGCTGGGCATGGTGGCGTGTGCCTGTAATCCCAGCTACTCAGGAGGCTGAGGCAGGAGAATTGCCTGAACTCAGGAGGCGGAGGTTGCGGTGAGCCGAGATCGCGCCATTGCACTCCAGCCTGGGTAACAAGAGTGAAACTCTGTCTCAAAAAGAAAACAAAAACAAAAAAACCCAAAAATACAAAAGTTAGCAGGGTATGGTGATAAGAGCCTGTAGTCCCAGCTACTCGGGAGTTTGAGACAGGAGAATTGCTTGCACTGGGAGGTGGAGGTTGCAGTGAGCCAAGATCGTGCCACTGCACTGTAGCCTGGGCAAGACTCTGTCTCAAAAAAAAAATTTTAAAAGGTAAGAGTAGGAAAGGGTGAGAAAGCAATGTATTTTTAAGTATATAGGGCTTACCAAGTAATCATGCTATGTAAAATGCAGATGAGCAGCATTGAGGCATAACTTATGTGCTTCTGAGAGCCCTGGGTCTGGTAACCTACTCTTGGCTTACCCAGTGGGAGGAGTTCCTCAGGACACTTTTCTGAGTTGTCCTCTCCTGTTTCTACCCTGTTTTCCCTTATGTTGCATTTCTCTGAAGTGCCCTGGTGTATGTAATGCTGTTGCTTATTTCTTTGTATGGGTTTTGGTAATTGGGAAATCTGTTTCTTAGACACCTGTTTGTTGGTGGATGACTGAGCTGCCAGAACAACCTTTACATCTTGTGATGTAATGATACCTGTATCTGGTGATAAGCTTGTTCTTGGTTGATCAGATAGGTTCAGCAGTGGTGGCTTTCAGTACGCCAGAGAATCTGTCAAGAGTCAGCACTTTGTGTTAGAAACAAAAGTGCTTAACTGGATAAGGTATTTTAAGATCATGCTTTTAAACATGATGAGCTTACTTTTTTTCCTTGTGATCAGAAAGGACTGGCATCGGACAGCATAAAATGAGGACTAGTAGTTAATTCTGACTTTTAAAATTGGATTGCTGCCAGAGTCAAATGGCTTCTTCTATCCTTGATTATTCTAAATCAGTGACTGTGACAGTTAAAAACTTGAACCATAATATAGGAGCTTTGATCACGCTTTGAAAACTCTACTCAGAGGGTTACAAATTGGTAAAGCTAGTTAAGTGGGCAGCCGATGGCTCTGAAAGTTGAGATGAACAGGAGGGAGGGATCTGGGGCTATCTTGATGGTACCTGATGGCTGGTACCTAAAAACATCACAGTACCGCCAACCCCAGCCCAGCCCCAGACACAGGGTGCAAAGGATGTCGGTGCCTCTGTGAGAGGACCTGCTGGGTGCTGAGCTCTGCTCTAGGGAGAAATGTGGTTACAGTTTAGGTACCAAACCCATCTTTCTTGTTAAATAAAACATCTGTTTGAGTTATTATTCCAGAAGCCACAAGCCTTCTTTGTAGAAAAATAAGGTACAGATAAACAAAAACATTTCTTTTTTCTTTCTTTTTTTTTGGAGACTGAGTCTCGCCCTGTTGCCCAGACTGGAGTGCAATGGCACAATCTTGGCTCACTGCAACCTCCGCCGCTCAGGTTCAAGCAATTCTCCCGCCTTAGCCTCCTAAGTAACTGGGACTACAGGCACCTGCCACCATGCCCAGCTAATTTTTGTATTTTTAGTAGAGACAGGATTTCACCATATTGGCCAGGCTGGTCTCGAACTCCTGACCTTGTGATCCACCCACCTCGGCCTCCCAAAGTGCTGGGATTACAGTCATGAGCCACCATACCCAGCTAACAAAAACATTTTTTAAAGAAAAATTATAAACATAAACAACTTGGAATGTATTCTGTACACCTCAAGCAGATATATGTGTAGGTATATGTGTATTTTTTTAACCAAATTGGGATTAATATTGCTGATCATATTTTGTAATCTGCCTTTTTTCACCAAAAATATATATTGTAAACATCTTTCCATGTCAGTCATTATCCCACAATGTCATTTTAAATTAGACCTCTGAAACTGACTAGGCAAAATTTAGCTTTCAGAGGGTAGCTATACTTTTACCCATTTTGTGGGCATTCCAGATAGGGTTAAAATGTACTTTCTAAGAGTTTAGATCAGTGTTTGACTTGAATGAACTAATAATAGTTAGCGAGTACTTGCTTGTGGATTTTTAGCTTTGGAAGAGAATTTAAAGATAATATACTCTGCCTCCATTATACTTTTCCTCCATTATACAGATGTGGAAACTGAGGCCCTGTAAAGTTTAATGTCTTGCGCATGGACACTGTTATTGCAGAACAGAGATAAAAACTGTCTCCTAATAGCCTGCAGTGCCGTGTTAAACCAGGATCACAGGAGCTCAGGAAAGGTTTTATATAGATGTGGGAAGAAAAGCCAAGAGAGATAAAGATAGAGAAGAGTAAAAAAAAAATGTGGTGTGGCCAGGTGCAGTGGCTCACACCTGTAATCCCAGCACTTTGGGAAGCGAGGTGGGCATATCATGAGGTCAGGAGTTCAAGACCAGCCTGGCCAATATGGTGAAACTCTATCTCTACTGAAAATACAGAAATTAGCTGTGTGTGGTGGCGTGCACCTGTCGTCCCAGCTACTTGGGGGTGCTGAGGCAGGAGAATCACTTGAACCTGGGATGCGGAATTGCAATGAGCCACGATTGTGCTACTGTACCCCAGCCTGGATGAAGAGTGAGACTCCGTCTCAAAAAAAAAAAAAAAAAATGGTGTTAACATCTGTTTTTTATTTTTTCATTTATCCCTCAGGAGAAAGAATGCATTTTGTTGCTTAGTTCTTATTTAAGGCCATTTCTTTTGGTCAGGAGATGTGAATATATGATCCTGTATTCTTCCCTCAGATATATGACTGTGGATATATACAAAATAAAAATGAATAATTGCTAGTATTTATTAGGCACTTCTGTGTTCCAGGAACTATGCATATCTCATTTCCCCCTTTCAACAATTTCAAGAAGGGAATACTGTTATTACCTGTCTTTTTTGGTTTTAGTTGTGGAAACAGACTCAGAGAAGTTGAGTACCTTATTTAAGTTCATGGGGTTTGTGCCAGGGTTTAAACTAGAGCAGTCTGACCTCGGGACCCATTCTCTTATCCTTATATTTATGAATGTAAGGAATATTATTAGTGAAACATGCTTATATCATGAGTAGCCTTTGCACAACAGAATGCTTCCTTATTAGTGTTCTGGCAGCAGTTTCTTTCTTGGCTTTTGTTAGATTGTCAACCAGGTAACTGCTGAACAGATATAGGGATCTCTTGGTTGTTTTAGGTCTCTAGAGCTGGTGCTTTTGAAAAATAGAATTAATTAGTTGAACAGATAGTTACTCAGCACTTGCTATATCCCAGATATTATTCTAGGTATTGAGTGGGGATACATCTATTTACAGAATAGATAAAATTATTAGGATGATTTTTGTTGGACTACTAACTTTGATGTCTTTGGTGGATAGATGATATCAAAAAGAGATTGCCTTGTCTTAAAAAAACTTCTACCTTAGTCCTAGCAGTAAAAATACCTTTAAAAACAAAATCTAGATCCTTTGCTTTCTTTTTTAAAGAATTCATAACCTGGCCAGGCACGGTGGCTCACGCCTGTAATCCCAGCATTTTAGGAGGCTGAGGTGGGTGGATCACGAGGTCAAGAGTTCAAGACCAGCCTGGCCAATATGGTGAAACCCCATCTCTACTAAAACTACAAAAATTAGCTGGGCACAGTGGCCTGTAATCCCAGCTACTTGGAGGCTGAGGCAGGAGAATCACTTGAACCCCAGAGGTGGAGGTTGCAGTGAGCCAAAATCGCGCCACTGCACTCTAGACCGGGTGACAGAGCAACAGTCTCAAACAATGAACAAACAAACAACAACAAAAAAAGGAATTCATACATAACCTTTTCTCCATTCTCAGCTCATTTTTAAAATCTCCCAGAACTCACCCAGCTAATTTCTTAATAGCACTATTTTCTCCTTGAGCTTG